GGTGTGATTTCTAATGATTCTTGATACGCACTTTACTTTTGCGCTCCATTTGCGTGTATGGATAAATTAAGAATGGCTGGTCGACGCAAACCCCACTTGCTCTATTGGTTTTGTATGGAAATAGAATAATTAATATGAAATTTTTATTTAATTTCGATTAACTCGAATAAATTTATATATTTTTTTAAAATTGGTAATTTTTTCGAAAAATTATTATATTTTGAAAAAAATATATGGAAAAACAATATACGAATATTTGATTATTATATTGTTGGACATGTTCTAAAATTAGGTACGTTTTGGTGGGTTATATTATATTAATTTTAAGTAATTTTATAAAGAATTCTTCTAAATTTCGGATTTTTTTTTGGGTTATACGAAGAGATAGGAATTTGTTATGGAGAAAGTATTGGTATATATATAGTCGTTCGTTATAAGTATTACGATTCGGTCGAAATATTGTTATAATGGTTTGGAAATATGATTTCGAAATGGGAGTACCTTTTTCTCTTTCTTTTTTCTTTTTTTGTTATCTCTGTAATTGTAATAGCATGCTTTTAGAGTAGTATCGTGTTTTTAGATAAACGTTTTGTGGAAGGTTTTATTTGACCTTTGTTCTAAGCTGCCCATTTTTTGCCTGTATATGAAGAGAAATATAAGTATTAATATCGTATTCGCTCCTATATATTTGACAACGATGGATTATGGATATATTAGCTCTATGTAATAAAAGACCCAAAGCTAGCAGTAAGTATCGTTATCGTAATTGGTTTCGATTTCATTTCCTTCGATGATTGAGTTGTTGATATATACGAAAGCCTTAATATATTCATATTATGGTTGATATATCTGACTGATAGATGGGGTCGCTATTTTTTAGCAACGTTCGATAATAATCATAAATCCATATATATAATTATATTCATAAAGAATTAAATAGGTAGGGCTTAAGCAAAGGCGGTTTTAGAATATTTCGATAAAATTGTAGATTTTTTTTTTTTTTCCAAAATATTTTAGAATATATTGAAATTAAAATTATAATCCGCCAAATTAGTTTTCGTTATTAGATAAAACGCCCATAATTTTGAAAAAAACAAAAAAACCAAAAAATCCGCTGACGTTTTCCATACCTAATATGGATTTGTGAAAAGGCTCGACTAACGATCATTTTACAACTATTCATCCTCATCGTCGTCGTCGTCACCTCCAGCAGCGCTGCCAGGATCACCATTTCCAGTCTCGAAGCCACCTCCAGTCTGGCCACTGCCAGCAACCCCAGCGTCGCACTCCTCAACCGCATCAATAATCGGATCCAATACTCGAACACGATCTCCACCATCTTTTCCAAGCCTTGCATCATTCATCATCAGCATGCATCCGATCCATCATCATCCTTATATCTCATTATCAATGTTTATCATTATCCATCCTCACCATCATAGCGATTATCATAATCATCAACGTAATCTTCCATTTAGCGCCCCCGTATTTTATACATACTTTAATTCCGCTATTAAACAACGTTTTAGCCTATAAACAATATTACAAAAACAATTATCATGATATGGATAACATCATAATACATCTTCCTTATTATTATGAACCATCATCATCATCATCATCATCATACATCATCATCATCATCATCCATCACCACCATCATCCGTTATTATTATCGACATTGTAGACTTAACCTCTATCTTCCATCTGTTTCACTTATATATATGTTAGGGTTTATATAGAAGATGTTACGACAATACTTATCGTGACACGGAGGATAATCATTATTATTATTATCTTCGTTATCCATTATCATTTATCATTATAATCATTATTAAATTCATGCATTATTATTATTATTATCATCATTACTTATTATTATCATCCATCATCAATATCCTTCATAATCTTCTATTTCTTATTATCGATCATAATATATTATTATTATCTATTATCATTAACTCATTATTCTCATTATGGTCTTTATTCAGCCTTCGTACATTAACTAATAATAATTATAATGGTACGGATTCATTATTATTATTATTGTTGTTATAGGATCGTTATTATCTTTATCTATGCTGATCATGGGTGATGATGAAGGTGATAGACGATAGAGGACGATAATGATGATAACGATGATGAGGATGGTGAAAAATACCTTTTCAAAAAACGATTATAGTGGATAATGATAAGGATATTAATAATGGAGACAATAACGAGGAAGAAGATTAATAATGATAATGATGATGATTGTATAAGATGGATGGATGATAATGATGATAATGGTAATAATCACAATGTTTATTTGTGCAACGATAAGAATTGAATAAGATGATAATTTATGATGATTATGATGTTCTAATTTGGTTTTTTCGAGCTTAATTTAATTAATTATTTATATAATTCTTACAAATTAATTTAATCTTTATTATAAATTAATTTAATATTGTGCAATTTTTTTTAATGTTTTTGTAAATGATTTATAATACATTTATAGTTTTACTAAAAACTAATTATAAATAGAGATATAATAAAAAATTAATAGAAAATATGTAAAAAACTCTCCTAATTGTTAATTTGAATTCTCCTTAGCGATTTAAGTATTTAATCGGGCGAAGATTATTATTATTTTGGTTTTATCAAAGAAATCTTGGAACCTATTCAGGAGATTTCCGTATAATAGCGAAACGATCGTTTTAAGACCACGAAATAGAGATATAAATGCAATATTGTTTTAACTCATTAAAAATAATCCATAAATCGAAATTAAAACAATAATATAAAATTTCTCATACTACATTATATAAATTCTTAAGAACCAAAATCTAAACAATAATAAGTATATAAAAAATAAAATAAATTCTATAAATTCCATTAAACTAAAATATATTTTATAAAATTGTATATATCACAAAATATATATTCTTCGTATTAATAATTTAAATTAGTGTTTTAAAGATTAAAGGTCTAAAAATAATATATATATGCAAATTTAACATAATCCAAAAATTCAATTCCCAAATCATCAATCCATACCAACAATTTAGTATATTTACATTTTATAATATAATAAAATATTTTAATATTTAAATTTCAAAAAATATTATAATTCTATATATATTTTTTTATATACCCATCACAACCTTAACCCCTAAAAACTCCGCTCATACAACACAATACATAAAATATATATCTTTATAACAATCATAAAATTCCAATATATTAAAATCCATCAAAACAACCTATAAACCAAAACCAAAACAAAACATCGCATAAACCAAACTCCCAAAAACTAAAATTATAATAAATAAAACAAAACATAGAGCAAACCATAAACTAAGCTAATTATAATAAAATCATATTAAAAATCAATAAAACACGATAACCTAAACAAAATAATAATGAATCCATAGGTTATTAATTTCAACACATCCATCTTCGTTTTTTTTGAGTAAACATATTATTCTAAAATTAAAATAATAATTATTATATAAATTTAGATTTGTGAATTTATATAGTTATGAATAAAGGTATTTCGTTTGATCCTTCGGGCGTAGAAGTGCCGCCACCTGCAAAAGCCGCGCACTTGCGGTGCCTGGCAAACCTCAACTCTGCCCACCCTGGGGCAAGTGCCAACACTGGAGATCGGACACCACAAACCCGCGCAGAAGTCCTAAAATAAGAAGATGTACCCTCCCACCCATGGAACCTGACAGCATCCTAGAAGACCATCTTCCTTCTAAAGGGACCCCTTGTCAGGTTCCATGTTAATTGGTGGGAGGGTAACAAGGGTTTTACATTGTAACATGAGAATCAATGAGAGCGGCTTGTGGGGCGCAACCGTGGAACTGTGCCCCGAGCCACTATTCAAGCGCAAGTACGGGAATCAATCACGACAGCGGTTTAACACGCTCAGTCTTGAGTTTCGCCTTGCGACGATATCCAACACATAGAGCTGCCCTGGTTGGTAATCTGATACATCTACATCATATATACATGAATATAATATATTTATAAACCCGCGCCTGCCTCTCAAAAGGCGGAAACATTGTGAGCAAAACAACCTCCTCACCTGAGGTGACTGACTGGCCGTGTTGACCGCGCCTCCGGGCTGGCCACCTCAAGCAGCTGCGTGCGACCTGGGCCGAGCAAAGGGTATCCAAATAGAAGTCTCCTGGCCACAATTGTACAAACCAGAAAAAACTTTTGTCGTGCTGCAACCCTTACAGCTGAAGCACGTTATCCTGCAGCCAGCCGGCTCAGAAACAGGCAAACACGGCCACGATGTTCGCGCTTTGGACACCTCACGACATTAAGGGCCTTGCCACGACCAGCGTCTGGGTCAGCGCCCAGCTGCAGGAGGGTCTTTGCTACAGCACTGTAGCCTCGGAACATGCAAAATGACGCCACGCTAACGCCATGGCTGTGAATCCTCAAAAGTAGCCGTGGCGTCACTAAGTACAAGCTTGGTATTGGCAGCACCCATCGCAGGCTCGGCCAAGAGCGCACAAACAAGCCAGACATTCACAAGCTGGGCGCCGGGCCAGATGCAACAGCGCGATCCAACGCCTTGGAAAAGGCGATTCCACGCGATCTTGCCCGCAGGCGACAGTGCAACTCAGCAAGTGAAACGTAGCTGCAGTAGATCCGGTCATTTTCCTCCAGACCTATCGCGGGCGTCTCAATTCCAATATGTGTCATGCTGCCCCTAGGCTTCTCTAGGCTTCTTGCACAGCAAGTGTTGAGGAGATGTGTGAGTTCCTGACAGAATTCACTCTGTAAGGCTCGGGCAGTACTGCCGAAACGGGGGTCAGGCGCATCCAGCTCGGCGTTGGCGTCCACCAACAGCTTGACTAGTTGGACTAAGCCCCTGGCTGCGTTGGCCCGCACGGTCTGCCAGCTGTACATTCCGCATCTTTGGCTTCCAGTTTGACCCCGGGTCCGTCTCGCATGCTTTCCGGTCCTGCTAGCGGCCGTGCGAAGCAGCGGGTTGGCATTCAAGCACGATGGCCTGCCGCTCGCCAAGGTCACTATCAAGCTAGCAAACAAAAGTGGCTTGGGACTTCAACACACCTTCTCCTCGCAAAACATAGCCACCTCAAGTGCGTAACACCCTAATTCTGTCATGTTTGCTCACTTCCTGATAGAAGGAATCCTACAAAATTGGCAAGCTGGTGTCGCCCAAGTCTCCTTTTGCTCTCTCCCTCTCTCTCCCTCTCTCCCTCTCTCGCGCTCTCCCTCTCTCCCTCTCCCTCTCCCTCTCCCTCTCCCTCTCTCCCTCCCTCCCTCGCACTCTAGCCGTCAGAGGTCTCTCCGAAAGCCCGCCAGCGCCTGCCCTTTGTCTCCTGGAGCCCCAGGCGAAGCAAAAGCTCGGCTGCGCGCGGGTCAGGGTTTTCCTGGCGCGACCAACCCATCCGACAAGCGGAAAGTTAGGAAGGCGACAAACGCGGACCAGCAACGAAGCTTCATGATAGTTGATTGGGCATTGAAACGGATGGGAGACCTGAATCCTTGAATCTTACAACGTGCAGCTGGAATGCGACACAACATCCCTCGCAACAATCTGCGCTGCCCTTTTCCTCTCTGCTCCTCAGCCAAGATCCTTAGCGGGCCGGCTTGAGACGCGAAGCCAATTTTGGAACAGTTGCTTCAGTTGCCCTCTGTGGCCATGGCTGTAGCAAAGCACGAGCAGCTTCGAGGCCCGGTCCGCGCGTTCGAGAGAACGAAATCCGGCACACGGGATCCTTTGTTTCACACGCGCCTGTGCTTTTGCAGATTTGGGTCGCAAGTTCTCGATTCTCCCAAAACAAATGTTGATGCTAGACATAGCCGCTCACTGTTGGCCCTCCGTTCCCACACGCCTGCGTGATTTGTCTATGAGCTTAAACACACAGATTCTGCCGCAAAAAGTCTGGTTGCTTTTCCTTCAGCCAGTAGGTGAAACCTAAACAAAGGAAGTGTTGCATGAGAAAACGGCGAGACCCCTCTCCAAACCGAGCAGTGCCAACTTTGCACCGCGTCTCCCGAGCCAAGCGGCGCAGGCAGGGTGGGCTTCCAAATCCAGAAACCGTGGCTTCTTGCCAGCGCGCTCCGCGCGTGCAGCATATACTGAGAGCACTCCTGGCAGTTCATAAGGGTCACATGGCCTGGCCAAACTGAAACACGTAGCTCTGATGTATTGAAATGTTCAAGAGTTCGCCTATTGCTGACTGGTTGGATTCTGAATTGTATCCATTGGCAGAAGTGGTACCAACAACCATGTCCTCACAAAATCTTTGGCGCTCGGAAGCAAACACATGTCAAAGGTGTGCAACCAGGTGCGGTAGGCGAGACCTTCAAGTCCATGGCTTGGACTTGGACTGCTGACTTGTTTTTTGAGGAATCCGCGCCTGAGATCCCCAGCATCGAGACATACCAGGGTGCTGAAGCCCAGAAACCAAGCCAGAAGGCCCGAGGGCGAGGCAGATCAGGAAACCTGCACAAGGCATAGCTGGAGCGCACACGGCAAATTCATGAAGCGCCCCAATGGGCAATACAAACATGCAAACGCCGAGCCACTGCCAAACACGCAAACACGGGCGCCAACATCGTTCAGGACGGAAAACAAGGCACACGACAAATACAGAGCTCACATGGCCTCAGTACAATATTGGAAAGCCATGACCACGAGTTTGTCACCTTGGGGTTGCTATGGCGCAAGCGCTCTCTGAACCCAAACTGTCGCAACATTTGGCATTCGCAGCAACACACACACACAAACTCGGGGGGCGTCACAGCCTGGCAAACGCGATGCTGACAAACTAGCGTCTGCTTCAATTTTGATCGGTTTTCCTCCTCCGTCATTTCAAGCCAAACAATCATGGGAAACTTGATACTTTGCAACATGCGAAGCAAACATTTCAAGGTTCCCTGTTGCGGTGTCTATCACATGTCAGCAAAAAGGCGCGCAAAAAATCAGCCGCTGTGCCTTCGTGGGGCCTAAAGCGAAGCAACGCGCGTTTGCGGGCGACGGCGCGCCTGTCAGTGAGTAGCGTAGCTGCAACCTCGAGGCAAATTAACCAAACTGACGTGGCCCGTGAAAAGCGCGGCATGGACGTGTCGTCATTCCACAGCTCCCGGCGCTGTGTTCCCACGGCTCATTTTGACATGACTATTCCATTTGCACCTTCGTCGCCCTTTCCCTTGCTGTTTGCCCTTCAGCTAAGTTCAAGCGTTGGGCCAAAGCTTTGGTGGTTAGGGGGAGTCTGAGGGGGGAGGGGGGGTCCCGCGGCGGATTTTTGACACGCCTAACCTCTAACCCTAACCTCTAACCCTTCCCTCCAACCCTAACCTCTAACCCTAACCTCTTTCCCTTTCCTCTGACCCTAACCTCTAACCCTCTAACCCTAACCTCTAACCTTAACCTCTAACCCTAACCTCTAACCCTAACCTCTAACCCTAACCTCTAACCCTAACCTTAACCTCTAACCGTGAGGATGGATGATGATGAAAGACCGCGGGAAGATGACGGAAGAGCTTCAGTCTTCCGTCATCTTCCCGTACTCTGCCGTCCGTCATCTTCCCGTCAGCTTCCCGTAGTCTTCCGTCATCTTCGTGTAGTCTTGCGTCATCTTCCCGTAGTCTTCCGTCACCTTCCCGCACTCTTCCGTCATCTTCCCGTCAGCTTTTCGTAGTCTTCCGCTAGTCTTCCGTCAGCTTCCCATAGTAACGGAAGACTGCGTGAAGATGACCGAGAGTGCGGGAAGATGACGGAAGACTGCGGGAAGATGACGGAAGACTACGGGAAGATTACGGAGAAGATGAGTGCGGGAAGATGACGGAAGATTACGGGAAGATGACGGAAGACTACACGAAGATGACGGAAGACTATAGGAAGATGACGGGAAGCTGACAGAAGACTACGGGAAGATGACGGAAGACTACGGAAAGCTGACGGGAAGATGACGGAAGAGCGCGGAAAGATGACGGAAGACTACGGGAAGATGACGGAAGACTACACGAAAATGACGGGAAGACTACGGGAAGATGACGGAAGACTACGGGAAGCTGACGGGAAGATGACGGGAAAGCGCGGGAAGATGACGGAAGACTACGGGAAGATGACGGAAGACTACACGAAGATGACAGAAGAGTACGGGAAAATGACGGGAAGCTAACGGAAGGCGGGAAGATGACGGGAAGCTGACAGAAGACTGCAGGAAGCTGACGGAAGACTACGGGAAGATGACGGAAGACTACACGAAGATGACGGAAGACTACGCGAAGATGACGGGAAGCTCAGTCTTCCGTCATCTTCCCGTAGTCTTCTGTCAGCTTCCCGTCATCTTCCCGTAGTCTTCCGTCATCTTCTTCCCGTAGTCTTCCGCATCTTTCCGCACTCTTCCGTCATCTTCCCGTCAGCTTCCTTCACTTAAGGTTAGAGGTTAGGGTGAGAGGTTAGGGTTAGAGTCTTCCGTCATCTTCCTGTCATCTTCCCATAGTCTTCCGTCGTCTTCCCGCATCTTCCCGTCATCTTGTTGCAGTCTTTTCGTTATCCGTGGTCTCTTCCGTCCTTTTCCCGTCATCGCTCCCCGTCATCTTCCCGTAGTCTTCCCGTAGTCTTCTGTCAGCTTCCCGGGAAGATGACGGAATACTACGGGAAGATGACGGAAGACTACGGGAAGATGACGGGAAGACTACGGGAAGCTCACAAAGATGACGGAAGACTGCGGGAACATCATCGAAGGCATTTGCGAGATGATGCTGGCAAAGCTGGGGATGCAAAAGCTGCCTTTTCTCCCTGTTGTCCAAGACAAAAAAGGCAGGTCTTGCACCCCCAGCATCCCTAGCATCACGCTAGAGACTGGCAGGATGATGCTGGTGAAGCTGGATGCAACGCGATGCCCTCAAGAGACGTCCTTTTGCGGGAGTTTTTTGGTTGACGACCTCTGGGAGGAGACTAGATCTAGGGATCAACAATACAGTTCAGACCGGTAGTCTGACAAGGACCAACCCCGAACTTCACCTGCGCGACACATGGACTCTGAATGTGGGGATCTTCCAACGCGGCGTCCCGAACAGGGACCCCGGCGGAACATAGAGCCCCATGAACGAAGCAGGTGCTTGCCAAGGAGGAGGGAAAAATGCAGCCCTTGAATAGCCAATCATGGAAATTGTCCACCGCCTTTTGACTCTGCAGGAGAAGGGCGTCCATAAACAGGAGGCAGAAATAAAGGGGTGCTTGTCGTGTAATACGCAGCCGGCCAAACGGAAGTGCCTAGTTGTACCTGTTGTTTTTGCGGAGGTAGCCAACACTGCTTGCCTGTTGTGGAAGCTCCCACTGCTCGTGACTACCTTGTTCCGTTAGAGCTTCCAGGTTGGCCCCTGCGGGAGGTAAGTTCAACCAACTATACAATGAACATTGCTCTGGGCAAATAGGGGGGGGGTTGTGTTTGCTCAAGTTGCTGGCCGAGGACTCTGGCCAAAGGCAGTTCTGACCCATGGGCACGCTGGTGCTGACGATGATGATGATGATGATGAGGATGTTGATGCTGGTGCTAATTAAAGAAAATGAGATGATGATGATGGTGATGGTGATGATGATGATGATGATGCTGATGCCCATGGTGATGTTGTTCTGATGATGGATGATGAGGATGCTGAGGCTGATGCTGAGGATGATGATGGCAGATGATGATAATGAGGCTGATGCTAATGATGATGATGATGTTACGGAGGTCGGCGGCATCAGGCGTCAGCCTGCTAAATCCGGCTACGCCTCCTTGGGGTAGCATGTCGCCGCTAGGCAATTAGCCTGCTAGCTTTAGCTATAGGGGGTGCACCCTGGTGCTGCCGACCCTCGCCACTTGGTCGTGATGCGCTGCCTAAATCCGGCACCTCTGCATCACCAGCTTGGGCTTGCGGTTTTGCTTGCCTGTGGGAAACCCTCGCAAAACGTCGCGTATATGCAGGGTTTAGGCCATGTGGCTGACATCGTCAGGGTCTGGGGTTGGGCCTGGGCGATGCTTCAGCGGGGCTTGGCCTGCATCATCAAGACTTCCTTCCAAAAAGCCTCTCAACCCATGAAGCCTGTTTTTACGAAGGTATCGGAGGGGTATAAGCGAGGCTCAGTTTTGCGCATTTTGGCGCCAAGCGCTGCCGGGCATGCCGGCGATGCTGGGTCCTCGCTCTCCAAAACGCTGTAAATACCGCAAAAAACTGCTGCGCTGAGCGTTGGGCTGTTGTTCTGTCCGTTTTGCTCTTGCTGTGGCTGGCTCGCGCGCTGCGCAGTCCCTGCATTTTTCCCGTTGGTTTTCGGGCTTTTTGGTGCGCGCGCGCGACCCCAGCCACAAAACGCTGCTTTTTTACGGTGTTTTGCTGCGTTTGCGTTTCCGGGCTGGCTTGCGGGCTGCTCTTT